CCTGAATATTCATTGGAAGGACTGATGCTGAAGCTGAAACTCCAATACTTCGGCCACCTGATGCGAAGAACTGACTCATTTGAAAAGACCCTGATGCTGGGACAGATGGAAGGCAGGAGGAGAAGGGGACAACAGAGGATGAGGTGGTTGGATGGCATCACCCACTCAATGGACATGATTTTGAGTAAACTCCAGGAGTTGGTGATGGACAGGGAGGCCTGGCGTGTGTTGTAGTTCATGGGGTCACAAAGAGTTGGACATGACTGAGCGACTGAACTAAACTGAACAACAAAAATAAGAAAGAATAAGGATAAATTAAGATATTACCAGATAAACATAAAGAAAGAATTTATTGCTAGCACAGCTGCCCTTACAAGAAATTTTTTGGCAGTTCTTCATGATAAAATTAAAAGAAAATAGAGAGTAACTTGAATCCACATGAAGAAATAAAAAGTATCAGTAAAGGTAACTATATAGGTGTTAAAGTATAAAGGGATTTTTTTGGTAACTATATTTTTCTTCTATCTGATTTAGAAGATATCTGCATAAACAAATAATTATGAATATGTGTTAGAGGAATCTCAAAATCAGTAAGCTAAGTGAAAGATGTCAGACACAAAGCTCACATACTGTGTGATTCCATTCATATGAATCTTCTAGAAAAGGCAAATCTATACAGACAGAAAGCAGACTGGTGGTTGTCAAGAGGCTGAGGGGATGGGGAATGGGAATCAACTGCTTAAAAGGTTCTGGATTTCCTTTTAAGGTGATGAAGATATTCTGGAATGACATAGAAGTGGTTGTTGCACATTATAAATGAACTAAATGCCACTGAATTGCTCACTTTGAAATGTTAAATTTCATTATCTGTTATGTGAATATCACCTTAATAACAACAACAACAAATCAGTAAGAATTTTTTTAAAACTTTTTGTTTTATATTGTAGTGTAGACGATTAACAACGTCGTGACAGTTCAGGTGGACAGCAAAGGGACTCAGCCATACATACACATGTATCCATTCTCCCCCAAGCTCCTCTCTCATTCAGGGTGCCACATAACTTGAGCAGAGTTCCCTTTGCTATACTGTAAGTAGGTCCTTGTTGGTTATCCATTTTATTTTTTATTATTTTTTTCCATTTATTTTTATTAGTTGGAGGCTAATTAATTTACAATATTGTAGTGGTTTTTTGTCATACATTGACATGAATCAGTCATGGATTTACATGTATTCCCCATCCCAATCCCCCCTCCCACCTCCCTCTCCACCCGATTTGAGCAAGCTTCAGGAGTTGGCAATGGATAGGGAAGCCTGGCATGCTGCAGTCCATGGAGTTGAAAGAGTTGGACACAACTGAGTGACTGACCTGAACTGAACAACAAAAAAGGCAGCCCTGTACTGGTATGGATGCAGGGGATTTAAGAACCACACTTTGGTCATCCAATCTTAATCAAATAATTAGGACTTCCAAGGGATGAGAATTTTAATTCTTCTAACCTGTTCTCTCCACCTGAAGGCCTCTGGAGAGTCCAGTAGAAAAAATTGAAATAGCAGACCATACCACCCCCATCACATGCCCTAACTGCCCAAGGGCACTTGTCTGGTTCATATCATTTAGTTCACTCCATCCACCCCTCCAGTTTCCTGTCATGATGGTATATTCCTGCCCAGTAGGAACTATTATTACCATGTAGTGATTTTGACCAATCCGGTTGATTGTTGTATGTTACCTAGGTTACCAAGTTGGTTTTCAACTTGTAGCTTGACTTTAAACTACCCTGACCAGTCAGGGGTAGGTATGGGTTACTATGTTGTTTGTTTACTCTGAAATTTCTAGAATGTCTGCAACCAAGTCCAAACCTGAAAAAAAAATAACAGCCCTGGAGCCTTCTCACCTAGTCCAGCCCAGTGCTAATGGATCCCAGAGTCCCCAACACTCGTGTCCACTCCAGCTCTGATATTTTCCCCCTAGTGCCCACCCGACAGCACCAGGAGAGAGCCCGTTACCTGCTGGAGTGGGGAAAGAGAATCAGGAAGGCCTCATGCAGGAGGCTGCACTGGAGCGGGGCCCTGGGGGCAGGGGCACTGAAGTGAAAAGGGGGAGGGGATGTGCCAATGAGAAGAACCATACAAAAGGGACGATGACTCTAGTAATCGGTAAAACATGAACACTGCGGCTAGAGGGCCACGAGTTCAAACGATTCTGACCATTTCCTAGTTGTCCTCATGATCCCATCCCCCAGTTCTCTCACAGCCCATCCTCCCTGCAGTGTGAACGCACACCCAACTGCTCATGCTCAGTGAGGTAGTTTCCATTCTGTGTATCTAAACGTTACTGGTTGGACCCCCCACCCCATTTCATGCCCCTAGTGCATTTGTTTGTGCAGTTGTCAGGTGGGCAGCTCTTTAGGCTCACTTTACCCCTCAGATGGATTCCTAGCTCAGTATCATCTCCATTTCTTTTTTCCAATTTTAGTATATGTGCTTCCTAAGCAAGCCCTCTCAAATATAGTTGCTGTGGGGAATTAAAGTCGCTGCTGAGAGATTTGATATCTCACTTTAATTTTCCCCTATTGCACTTTAATTTTACCCCCAGAGTAGAAATGGCGGCAAAGAACTTTCTAGAAGGAGGCAAACGCAATGCAAAGCTGCCTAGGACCATTGAAATAGTTTGAACTCACTGCTTGAACCAATCACAGTCTGGTTTGTGTCTCTCTCGGCGTGGTTTGTCCCGTGCTTCCCACAATTCCTGCAACCCCAGTTCAAAGGCAAACACGTGAAGCGGGAATTCTTTCCACCAGTAAGAGTGATGCTTGGCATACAGGCACGAGTTCCATATACAGAGAAAGAGTGAGTGGATAGTGTACCTGTCAATCATTCTTGCCTCAGCCAGTCAGGATCTTTATAGGTGAGAAGACCGTCAGCTGGCTATAAAAGGAGTGCACTTGCTTCTTACCGCCCTTTTTTTCCTGGGTCTCTTGGTGGGTTCGTAGTGAGTTGGTCGTTTCAGCGGTGAGGCGTTCCTCAGAGGTGAGGCGTTCCTCAGTGGTGAGGCGGTCCTCAGGGTGAGGCGGTCCTCAGCGGTGAGGCGGTCCTCAGCGGTGAGGCGGTCCTCAGCGGTGAGGCGTTCCTCAGCGGTGAGGCGGTCCTCAGGGTGAGGCGTTCCTCAGCGGTGAGGGGGTCCTCAGGGTGAGGCGGTCCTCAGCGGTGAGGCGGTCCTCAGTGGTGAGGCAAAACAGTGGCTGCTCTTAGGTGAATAAGGTTAAATTAATTTTTACTTGTCATTGCTAGTTCACTATTTACAATGTGCTTTTTACAGAGGAATATACTTTAATAATATTGTAATTGATAATATACTTTAATAGTCTGGAGGGCTTTGGAGTTTTGGCTGTGTGGGTCCTTTAGCCGAACTTGGACACAATGTTGTGCTTTATGGTACAGCTTGATAACTCTTTAATATTTTACTTGTTTTAAATATTGGTCTTGGTTCCCTTTTGTAAACGTTGTTAAGAGACGGTTAGCTGAGCAGGTAGAGGGGAGTCGGGCTGCCAGGGAGCTGATTTTGGCTTTTTATTTTAAATCTTTGCATGATTTAAAATGTCATTGGGTATTTAATTCTTGGTCCCTCCGTTTCTGTTCTTTTCAACCTGAAAAGGAGAAACTTAACAAACTGAGAGGCGTTGTGCATGGGATTGGGACAGTTAGTCGCTTGGGTTACCTTTGAGAGTAATTTTGTGCTTATGTGTCTGCGTATGTGCCCTCGTGCCAGCGTGTCTGCATGCGTGTGGCTATGCATGCGTGCGTGAGTGCGCCCACACGCATGCCCACTTGAGTGCTTCCATGTTTGCTCATGCGTGCGTGCCCGCTTGCGTGCCTCCATGTTTGTTCTTGCGTGCGTGCCCGCTTGCGTGCCTCCATGTTTGTTCTTGCGTGCGTGCCCGCTTGCGTGCCTCCATGTTTGTTCTTGCGTGCGTGCCCGCTTGCGTGCCTCCATGTTTGTTCTTGCGTGCATGCCCGCTTGCGTGCCTCCATGTTTGCTCATGCACGCCTGCCCACGTGCATGCCCGCCTGCTTGCCCACGTGTGTGCCTGTGTTCGTCCGGGCATGTGTGCCCAGGTGTGCATGTGCATGCGTACATGCCCACGTGTGTGCCTATGCCTGGGTGCCTGCCTACATGCGTGCCTGCCTGCGTGTCTGCCCAGACCCATGTGCCCATGCCTGCGTGCATGCCCACATACATGCATATGCATGTGTGTCTGTGCGCGTGCTCGTATGTGTGCCAAGGTGTGCATGCACATGCCTGGGTGCCTGTGTGTGCCTATGCCTGTGTGCCTGCCCACGTGCATGCCCACCTGCTTGTCTGTGTGTGTGCCTATGCCTACGTGCCTACCTGCATGCCCAGGCCTGTGTGCCCACATGTGTGCCTGTGCCTGCGTGCATCCCCACGTGTGTGCCTGCATGCATGCCCATGCTTGCGTGTCTGTGTGCATGCTTGTATGTGTGCCCAGGCATGCATGCACATGCCTGCATGCCCACGTGTGTGCCTCTGCCTGCGTGCCTGCAGACGTGTGTGCCCGCCTGCATGCCTGCATGTGAGCCCATACCTGTGTGGCCTTGCCTGCATGCATGCCCATGTCCGTGCCCACCTGCGTGCATGCCCGCGTGGGTGCCCATACATGTGAGTTCTCATTTGTGTCATTTTTGGAATCAATCCTCTCAGACGCTGATTTAATTAAAAAGAAAAAAAAACCTGACATTTTAAGCTTGGAAATGAGGAAATCAGAGGTCTGATTGGCACCGGGATTGTTCCCTAATGGCTTTAAATAGCTTTCAGTCACCGTTGGGGCAGTTTTATGCTTTTGTTTAATGTGCTTGTGTATTTGATATCATATTTGACCAAACGTGGTCCTGGGGTTTTTCATGTGCTTTCCTTTAAAAGCCTGGTCTTATTTGCACTTGGTGTTTTACAAACACGGTGGATACCCCAAAGCCTCTCTTCAGCCAATATTGGATGCAGTTTGGCTTTTAAATTTATGTAACAATTGTTTGTTCATTCTCTTTGCGTTTCAGTTAAGTTTCCTTGTTGGGGATTTCATAGTTTTCTTATGAAAGGTTTTGTGAAAATTTAGATTTACAGGGGGAGAAGATTAAGTCAGATTGCATGCCTTTTATTTGGTAATTGTGTATTTGGTATAGTTTTATTTGTCTACATTGTGCTTTTATAGCCCATTTCATAAATTTCTTTAAAAATAAACATTTTGTACTCCCCATCCCAGTCCCCCCTCCCACCTCCCTCTCCACCCGATCCCTCTGGGTCTTCCCAGTGCACCAGGCCCGAGCACTTGTCTCATGTANTCCCTCTCCACCCGATCCCTCTGGGTCTTCCCAGTGCACCAGGCCCGAGCACTTGTCTCATGTACCCAACCTGAGCTGGTTATCCGTTTCACCCTAGATAATATACATGTTTCAATGCTGTTCTCCTGAAACATCCCACCCTCGCCTTCTGTATAACAAAAACTACTGTAATGATGTAAAGTAATTAGCCTCCAACTAATAAAAATTAAAAAAAAAAAAACATTTTGGGGTACTCAAGATTTACAAATGAAGGATTTAATCAGGCAGAGTCTTTAATGTTTTACGATAGTGAATGCGCTTAAGTGTCTGTCATAGGCTGCCTTGTAGTGCGGTTCGGCACTTTTACAGAGGAATTGTGTGTTTGGTATCATTTGAATCCATTAAATGTAGATCCTGGTCCTTTTCACAAGCTTTGTGTTAAAAAAAAAAACAAAAACAAAAAACTCCGTATGTTGTCTTCAATTCACAAATAAGAAACAAGTTTTCTAATCAATAGACTTATGGTATTTTCAGTGTAAAAATACACACCTGGACAATTTTGAGTGGCCACGAGCTTGTTTTAGGACAGTGGATGCTCAAAAGTGCCTGGTATTGGCCAGAGTTGAGTGGCGTTTTGGATTTTGTCTCCTGTAAAATCACATGTAAAATCTCCTGTAAAATAAAAATATTCCATAAAATATTCTGCCCTAGCCTTTGGCATATATTTGCTTTGAAAGATGTGAGACATTTAAAGATAAAAATCAGGAAAGTAACGGGGAGATGGAGGGCTTTGTGTTTCCAGGCAGTGAAGTCGTGTTGTGCAGTTTTGAGTTTTATTTTACAGGCTCAGTGTGCATTTAACATAATAGTAATTTTAAAATTTAGGTCCAGTTCCTCTTTCCTAGGTCATTTCCCCCTGTTATTCCACAGGGGGGAAATGATTTGTACAGGTTCTGTTCATAAGCAAGAAGAACAGCAGTGTTGGGTACCAGGGTAGTCAGGACCAAAAACGGCGGGAATTCCAAGTCCCGCCCCGACGCGCTGCTTCCCCCTACTGGCCACACCCAGCGGAGGGTTTTGCGCTTAAGCATAGAGCGAGTGGAGGCTTCTGAAATCTAAACGGTAATGGTTGCTTGTGCCTCCGTTACCTGACATGTATTTATGGGGTGAATTAAGTGAACGGAAAACCCTTGTCTCTCAGAAACCCAAAGACCAAACTCAGGGATGAACCCAATTCTTGCTTTGAGGTAAAATGATGCTGTTAGTGAATTTGTCTGGTTTGTTCTTGATTTCTACCTGAATTATGTGTATTCAGTATCTCGGTGACTGCTGGACACCTTTTTTGGTAGAACACTAGTGATTTCCGAATGTTCTCTTCCTGGATTATGTTTAGAAATCAAAAAGTTGGATTGTTGGTAGGATTGAAAGCTACTTCTGCCTCTGCTACATGATATACCAAGGTTTTAGGCATTGGGACATTAACTAGCATCACAAATACCACCGTTTCAAGTTCTAAACCCCATTTTTGACTGTGGGATTTAGGTCCAAGGGTCAGGCTTGAAGGCACCTTTATTGCATCTACTTTGCTCGTAGGAATCCTAGAGGGCATATTTTCCAAAGAACACATCCACGAAAGCCAACATTAGCGATGATTACTTTTCTCTCATTGCTACTACCTTGAAGGATCTGTGCTCAGTTTCAGACAGCAGCAATGTTATTTAATGGTTTGGATTATTCATAAAAGTACCCCTAATGATACTAGCTGCTTTCTGCTGTCTCTGATTTTCTAACTAACTGTGTTACTGATTACTTACACTAATAGCTCATGAAATGTTGTTGTGGAGTATAGTGAACAGCTCAGCGTCCCATTTCAAAGGTTTAAAAGTCTTTAGCTATGGTGTTGAAAATAAAATAAACAGATCAGTTTGAGATGCACCCCCACCCCCATAGAAGATAAGGGACATTGCCTTTTAGCCTAATATTTCATTCTTTCCCTGTGATGTTTGATTAAAGCAGGATGAACTGTGGTTCACTTTGAAGGGGCACTCAGACCTCTGCAGTAGCAATCTCATCTGATCTTGGAGCCACAAGATGAGTGCTGTCCCTTACATTATATTTCACTCTGCATGATTGGGTACCCACCAACCATTTCCAAAAGTTCCTCTGGATAAGGGGGAAAAAGGGATGTTTGTTCCAGCCACTCACCTAAATAAGTTTCCAAGTTAAGTAACTTTCCTTCTGTGGTGCTAAGCTGCCCACCCTCAGGCAAGTCTCCTTGCAGATTTGTTAAGTTACTACCTTTTTGAGGACCTGCTGTGGAAAAGTCCAGTACTGATAAATCTGTGGACTTGTAACATGAAGAAAAAGGAACCAGAACCAGAACCAGCCAGATGAATGAGTGTGTTGCTGTGTAGGGAGAGGTGAGGGGTGTTGGGCAGAGGGCAACTCTGCTGTCTCCTGGCTCATTACACAAGGTGTTGGACCCCTTCCCTGCGTCTCTAGAGATAGGAACTACCAGCAGTGGCAGGGTCACTCCTGGACACTGCTGCCCAACTCGATGGTAGAGACCGTGTTTCTCCAGCTAGTTGTTTTCATTGGGCAGGAGCATGTTTTTACCCATACTTGTCTGTATTCCTCTGTACACTGTGAGTGCTACTGTTACAGAGACATTTGGCAAAATCAGACTGCTTGAATTTCAGAGAAACCTCACTTCTACTTTTTAAAACCAGAATTTTGACTTTTCTTTTTATTCTTTTAGGAAAGCCAATAGCAGACAGTCGACATATGGAATGGACTAGATTGTAGAAAACAAACTTTGGGAGTCAAGAGTGCAGGGTGCTGCTTAAATTCCTCTGTTTCAACAGGTATGAGAATGTGGATCTGAATGTAATTTTAGAGCCCAGGTCTATCTATGGAAAAGGGGGAGGGATGAGATTCATGGACCAAGTGGGGGGAGCAGGGAATGTTAGTCTGCCAGCCTACTTACCCTCATTGTGATATTTGGTAGGAGTCCTGAAGGCATAGGCCAGCAATTAAGGTAATGTGTAGGTCATACGCTTCCAAATCTTTACCCTTCCATACATTTTGGGCATTTTCCTGCTCCTACAGACATTACTGGGACCACGTATCATGTTTCATGCATACTAAGCCTTCAGTCTCTAAGTTTGAGAGAGACTGCTCATTTTAACTGTAAGACAGGTCTGGTAGTTCAGCTGACTTTTAACATATTCAACACTTGGTGTCACTGTTAAAAATTTTCAATGGATTCAGGTATTGAAAGCTGGGGATAAGATTTGAGATTTGCATGCTAATGTCTCCCTGATCCCTGTGTTTCCTGTTCAGTTACACCGTGGGATGAATGGGTTTGGGTGAGGTGATCATGACAAAAAGTGCTAATGTTATTGGGTTACATTTAAGCTCCTCTATAACAAATACTCTCCCTTGTCTATGTCCAGGTCATAGTCTCTGACTTCTAACATATTCAACACTTGGTGTCACTGTTAAAAATTTTCAACGAATTCAGGTATTGGACGCTGGGGATAAGATTTGAGATTTGCATGCTTAAGTCTCCCTGACCCCTGTGTTTCCTGTTCAGTTACACCGTGGGATGAATGGGTTTGGGTGAGGTGATCATGACAAAAAGTGCTAATGTTATTGGGTTACCTTTAAGCTCCTCTATAACAAATGCTCTCCCTTGTCTATGTCCAGGTCATAGTCTCTTGTCAGTACAGTGGCCAAACCACAAGGCTTGATTGGTAAGAATTCCCCATGTTTGGTGCTGTTTTTCTCAGATTGCTCTCTGATGTTTCTTTAAAACATGTAAAGGTTTTGTGTGTGAACCTGATTTCACCTTTGCAGGTAATTTTCTGACAAGGTTAGTAGTAGCTGAATCTGGATTCCTTTCTGGTGAGTGATGAGATTTCATATTAATTTGAGATTGAAACTTTCAGAATATTGGAATACCAAATCACAGCGTGGGACATCTTCTAATCACAGTTTTTACATTTGGAGTTGTTGCTCACTCTGGCGTACATTTTGGAATGCAGTCTTCCCCTGCAGTCTAACAATAAGCCTTATAAACTAGAGTCATGTGTAAATGCCTGCATTATGTAGCTCTAATGCTTGGTACTTTATAACTTGCCACTTGGATTGCTTTGGAATCAGTCAAATCACAGTTCCAATCTGCTTCCACCAGTAACTGTGTGTAGACATAAATACTAGAGTGGGTAGCCATTTCCCTCTCCAGAGAATCTTCCCGACCCAGAGATCGAACCCGTGTCTCCTGCACTGCAGGCAGATTCGTTACCATCTGAGCCACCAGGGAAGCCCACACTTTTACGAAGTTCTATCCAAAGTCTAGAAGGAGCTGATGAGGTTGCCACGTTGTGGTTGGATCAGGCAGAATGTGCAGAGAACTCTAGTAGAATACTGCATTAGGACTCTGGATAGCCGCGAGTGCCTCAGGAGAGTCTTGAAACTGCTCGATCCCCAAAAAGCAAACCTGTGAGCTTCTGCTAGAGTTCTTCCAGAGTCAAGAGTGGAGGTTCTGCTCTCCTTACCTGGGTCTTTCTCTAGCTGATGATGCAGTCTTTACTGTCTAGAGAAGGGCTTCCTTAGAGGAGGCAAGGCAAGAGGCGTCAGCTAAAAGCACAGTGCGGTGAACTTCCCAGGTGGCCCAGTGGCTCCCAATGCAGGGGACTGGGGTTTGATCCCTGGTCAGGGAACTATGATCCTACATGCTGCAACTAAAAGTTCACATGCTTCAACTAAAGGTCCCACATGCCTCAACGAAGATGGAAGAACTCATGTGCTGCCACTAGAGACCCGGTGCAGCCAAGTAAATAAATAAAAATATTAAAAAAAATAAAAACATGGTGGGAAGAGAGTAGAGGAGAATGATTGTTCATAGTGCACAAAGGTACATGTGTAGCTTGCTGGTCAGGGAATAACTATTCTAAACATGATCTTTTCTCAACAGATCCAGTTACACTGTTTCCACCTGGGCTGATCCTGGTGCCTCTCAGGATCTTTGTGGAGGTGAGGACATTTGACAGTCACAGAAAAGTGTTTTTATTAATACATCATTTTGATTCACAGAATAAGCAAAATGGCTGCAGGTAACGATTTTCACAGCTTGCATGAGTGTTAATTAGAAACAACTAGAAGCCTTGGATGTGAATGTCACTTGTTTAATTTAAATATCTTTGCAAAGAAACTGGTCCTTACTCAGTTAAAGTCATAGCTGGCATCCAGCCATAAGGAAACCCCAAAACCCATCTGTTCCTTGGACTTTTGACCAAAACGGTCACCCCACACACACCTAGTAAGTATAAGTGTAGATCATTTGGGTACTTCAACACAGTGGGAATTTTGATTCCTCATTTAAGCAAAAATCTTTCCAGCTACCTATTTCAGCATCTCTCATTTTTGGCTATTCTATAGACCTGTTTTCTCCATTTATGTATATAGTTAGGTTGGAAATGTCAAGGGACCACAGGGGAATGTTTATGAAATTCCATAAAAATATGCTTTCGCAAGACTAAGGTTTATTGGTATTCCAGAGGAGCTAGCTGGTAATGACTTCTTTTCCATCGGCGTCTGCTCCTCGCCTCCTCCTTCTCACCTTGAACTTTTGCTTGAATCTAGGAATCAATTTTGTCTAATTTCCAAATGTTACTTGTCGGTGGTTTGGCTGGATTCATTACATACACACACGCACACACACACATGCGCGCACACACGCACACACACAAACCCACCCAGAATGGAAGGTAACTTGGTGCATTTTAATGACATAAATACTACCCTTATCGTGAAAGCTTTTATTCTCCCTTTCTGTTATTTTGTTTTGTGATTTCTCAGCAGAATCAAGAGATATAATGATAATTTTATTAAAATGAGAGGTTCTCTTAGCAGAACCATGACCCTACTGCCTCATTTCATGGTAAACTCTACTTGTCATTTGTAGGCATTTGTGGGAATTCCTATTTTTCATGGAGTTCTGATGAGTCAAAAGTGATCCAGAAAAGACTGTCCTTTGGTCACTGACTGTCCAGCTGTGGGCCTGGCGTGCATTCCCTGCAATCCCTCTGTGCACAAAGTGGGTGCACAAACCAGTCCCAAAATAAAAGTTTGTGTTTTTTAAAAAAATTTCTATCAGACTTATACAAGTATGACGTTTAAAGAATAAAATAATTTCATGAGGTTTACTCATCAAAATAATACTTCCCCCAGTCTACCACCATTCCATTTCCTGCTCACCATGTTTATCCAGAAGTGACACGTGATTGTGCAGTTGCAGAAGTAAACTGGTGCTGAAAACTGCTCAGAGAATCCTGAGAGCACTAAAAGGATTTTAGGTGTAGTTCTTTGGCCACGTATTTTCTGTTTTTCTAAGGGGAGAAGAATTGCAGCAGATAAATCCTCAGAAGAGGAATCAGAGAGGGAATGATAAGTAGGAAATGGTCTCTTACATTCAGGGTTCTGCAGCCCAGCCCAGAGATGGGGAGAAGGCTTCAAACAGTAGTGCTGTGCTCCCGAGGGTGAGGACGAAGCAATCAGAAGGACAGGGCCTTTGGTGTCAAAGGTATCATGAGCGCTGTGGGTTCAGGGGGTGTCTCCTACCCCCTTTCCTCTTCTCAGTCCTCCCTGTGCTTCGGCATCTCCTCAACTAAACAAGTAACATAAAGGATATTACAGATTTGGAAGTTTTATTACTGTGGTCTGAGATGTAGCTAGCAAATATGGAAGGAGATGTATATATCAGGAGGCAAAACCATGACTTATTGCAAATACCACTTTTCCCTACACATCCTCTTATACATACTTGGAGCATTGTACCGGGGACCCTTAAATCTCTGCAATTCTTAAGTGCTCTTCCCATGTTACTGCAGATATGAATAGATAAACCAATCCAATTCCAAACTCCTCATTTTCCAGTGGGCTCAAGATGCTCTGGAGAAAAATGAATCAAATATATAAACTAATTCTGAGAACTGAGAAAAGTTCTTTGATGATGGTCTCCTTACAGATGGTCTGACTGTGAATTGCCTATTAAGTACCTTCCAGTTCACACACTTTTCCTTCACTTGTTTCTATACTGCCTAAGTTGACCTATCTCCTTCATGATGTGTGTTTATATACCTAAGACTGAATTGTCATTTTTCCAGGTTGAGAAACTACCAATAAGAAATTAGTATCTAAAACAACTACAGTGGGATCCAAATATTCGGCATTTTGGTGAGTACAATAACTTTTCAAGGCTAAAAGGAGCCATTCTCAGGCTCTAGATGATAAAAAGATGATCAATACTACCATCCTTTCCTCATGTATCAAGAGCCATCAATCTTTCTGTCACTGTAATAACAGACCAAGAAAGATGACAGTGTTAAAAGTGTGGAGCTAAAAAATAAAAGTGTGGAGCTACCAGTTCTTTATTCAAGTGTTTGATAAATAGACCATAGATGGCATATATATCTAAATGAAGAATTTAAAGCAATTAATTGATGCATCTCAAACTGAGATTGCCTTCAAATCTCATCTACATTGATATCTTTGCCCACTAAAAATCATCTTTAAATATTACTTTGATTAGTTGAAAAGATGGTAGTATTGATCTTTTCTTTCTTTTTCTTATTTTGGGCTAGTTCTGTGTGCTGAGATTCAGTGCCTTTTCTTTCTCTACTTTTTTGTTTTCTAACCCAGATCTTTGTTTTCTGAGTATATTCTTTGTGAGGTTTCATGGCAATGACACTTGTGAAGGTGATATGGTTTGTGTCTGTCAGAAAGCATCTATTCAGCTAAATCCTGTCTCTCTTCTATGAACACCAGCAGGTCATCTAGAATCTGCTCTCAGCTTTGGTTTTCTTCATCCCTTCCCTGCTTGGCTAGACTGTATCATGTTTCAGCTTTGATATATGTTTCCTAATTCCACAAATTCCTCTGCTCTGTGCCCTTAAGAAGCATACAATTCCTATATGCCAATCCACCCACAGGAATTGTCCCTAGAAAATCATCCAGTTAGTCTGTTAACTCTTTTATACTGGTACTCCTGGACTTCTTATCTGTCTAGTTTTTTTTGTCTTAATTTTCAAGAGGTATTTTCCTACTTGGTATTTTCATACCCTTTGTGCTTCTTAATCACTTCCTGCTCATGGCTCCTTCAGTGAGTGGAAGTGATCAACCCCCTCTGATTATTGAGTTCTTATATATCATTATTTCTTACTATCTCAAATTCTCCACGATTTTGGTCACCCTTTATGATCTTGTAACAACTTAAACATCCTTGTTTGTACAATACACTCTTAGAGAGAATGTAGACTCACATGTATTTCCTTTATTTGTCCCTTCTGGTCTTAAAGATCTGGCATTTCCCTATCTGTACAGGCTGACTTATAAGATCTCATAGTTAATTTTAAGAACTCTTCCTTTGAACTTCACCTGTTTTCATTCTTGCACTGCTGATGTTCTTTGATGTGGCTGATTACTTTACTTCTGTGAACTTTAATTACTCTAAGTATAAAATGGAGACGATGGGATCTGCCCCAGCTTCTTAAAGCGGCTATTATGAGAGAAGAAGTTAAACCATTGTTGAATACTGGGTCCTCAGAAATATCACCAGAATAACTTGTTGATAAGGACAAGTTGAGTTTATCTTTACTGTGGTAAGGAAGAGTACTATTTTGAAAGCTAAATGGGGATAATTATGCGGTTTGGGAGTATGATTACAGGTGGCTATTGGAGTATGGCAGATTGATTAGGATTAGGTAAGGTTCATGACATAATATTACACTTTGGATTGGTGGACACAACAAGGCAAGGTTTTTGAGACAAGGGTATTGATCTCAATCCTATCTGCTGAAAGTCTGTTCACGATTCATATGAGTATCTTTGGGACATCTCTGGAATGAGCCACAGAATTATTTGCAATGTCTTTCTTCATGAGCAAGAATTGCCTGGAATTGTAAAGTCATGTTGATGAATACAGTAGAATAGTTAAATTGTTTGGTAAGACAGCTGAAGAGTAAAATCATGTTAATGTAGGCGGTGAGCTGTGAGGAGGTTGAAGCTTTTAGTGCTTGGTATACAAAAGCACTTTGTAAATGATCAGTACCATATAAATGGCGGTCATATTCATAAGGCAAGTGTTTCACTTGTTTTTTATTCTTATGCCTTTTTATCTAAATGCAGTCTTTTTCTGCTGAAACTCAGTAGAAAGGGAAATCTGTATTCAGAATGACTAAAACTTCTGATATGTTATTTAGCTCTTTGATGCCTGGGACCAGCCTTGAAAAAGTCGTGTGTAACCTCTACAAAATTTTCCTCAACCCTTTAAAGCCACTAATCACAAGAGATAATGAAGGCAAAGTCAGAGAGTTTTAATTCAGGTTAAACCTTCAAAATAAGATAAAACATTTGGGGGCAAATATATGCCAACATGGTGAGTGAAGCAAAACTCCTCACTTGGCCAGTCAAGAGTCAGCCTTTTGTCTTCCTTATCTGAAAATAAAATCTTGGATAGTTCTTTCCTTTATAACTTCCATTTTGGCCTAACACTGGCTCACTAGTTACCTCCAGCTGCATGGTATATAGACTGTTTTTAAAAGCTCATTGGGCATAAACTTTAGGATAGGTTGTTTAACTCATAGACTAATGTAGGTAAAATATCGTAGGAATACTATATTTAACATTGGTCTAGCAGTTAAAATATAGTTCTCCCAAGAGAGTTAGTGCAAGTCCGTTATCTCTAGGCAACACAAATATCAGATCAACACTATTGATTAGTTCTCTTTTACTTCGATAGTCAGGTGTGAATTATTTTTAATATATCTTGACACGGTCGTAGAAAATAAGTGGACACAGAGCAAAGAGCACTGAGGTATTTGACCATTGTTGTACCAATGTGGACCATCATGAAATAGAAAAACTTAGTTTTCAAAGACTACATAGCACTTTTCCTATCTCATAGTACTTTTTTATCTCAATTGAAAGCAATGAAGAAAATAGATTTGCTTAGGATTCAGAGTGCATGACATACTTGAATAGACTCACGACAATGCCAGACATGGAAGAGAGAATTAAAAAACATGGTAAGAAATGATCCTTTTCTCAAGGATCTTACAATCTAGTTAGAGGCACAAAACTAACTTAAACTCATTTCATCTGTATAATGAGTTAAGAGGAAGGAAACATTGCCATTTCAATAGAGAAGTCTTAGAAAAGGTCAATGGTGGGGTGCTTCTTGCTTTGGCTTCCCAGGGATAGAGGAAAAGTCAGAATCCACAGGGGCTTCCCAGGTGACACAGTGGTGAAGAATCGCCTGCCACTGCAGGAGACATGGGTTCTATCCCTTGATCAGGAAGATCCCCTGGAGAAGGGAATGGCAACCCACTCCAGTATTCTTGCCTGAAGAACCCCGGGGACAGAGAAGTCTGGCAGTCCATGGGGTCGCAGAAGAGTTGGACACAACTGGGCGCACACACACACTCCCACACGCACACAGAATCCATAAAGGAGAGGGAGAGCACCCAGGAGAAAGGTGTGAGGCAAGGGGAAAAAAGTGGGAGGGCACAGCCGGACCTGGGATCTTTAAAGTTGAGTTGCTGATCTTTCTCGGCTGTGGTGCAGCTTGGCCCTGAGTATACAGATGCTTTATTGGATTATTATGTCTGTGACACTGCAGCTATTAGTCATACTCAGCCATAGGACCTGACAATATAATGATGTTCTATTTTTACTTCTGTCCCAAAAATGCCCCAGAAGTGCTGAAATTATGACCAGAAAATTAATTTCTTTGCATTTGGACTAGAAGTAAAAGAACAGGGAATAATTCTACATTCAGTCTATAAATCTCCAGAGTTGTTTAGAAACGTTTTGTGTTAACAGTTTAGGCTGAGTTTTGCATTAAGTATTGCACGCCTCCCCGGAGGAAGTGGTGAGAAAAATATCTGATCAGAGCATTTCAGTGTGGTTCAAGGCTATCAAACAGATGCTTGTAGATACATGCAGGTACAGTTGTAACGCTGATTATTTTGCAAGGTCAGAAAAGGAGTGGCTGTTTTGTGCCACATACTAGTTGCTTTCCTGAGTATAGAAATAAAACCGGCTCCTTCATCCAAGCTTCTCACAGAGGTTTTCTTGGTGATCTGTGTGTGTACCAGGAAATTAGCACACAGGACCATTTATATTCTTCTTTATATTGAGTTCCTTATCAGATCAGTTAAGCCACGTTCTCAGTATTCTTCCCTAGTACTTGGTCCATAGTCTCAAACTGTCATAGACAGGTGGGCCCTTGGAGATCACACTGTCCACTGTGTAAGTGAAGAAATGTCAGTGTAGTGAGATAGTGACCACATAGACTGTGGCTGAGCTGACACTACCATCTTGTCTCCTGCTTTCTGTTGTGCACCTTTCCTCTCTTCCCAGACGTCCTCCATACGTTAACATGTATTTGAAGTGAGTGCATGGAGAACGAAAGGAGCAGTGCTGGTGTGCCTGTTTGTGGGGCGTGGTCTCCCCCACCCACTAGGTGTGCTGCATGCGTGGACACACAGCAGGGCAACCACATGACAGCCTGTGTCACCTGGAAGGCCAAGAGTTCTCTTTGTGAAGATGTGCTCTATTGCTTTAACTTTTGGGGTGGGGCACAGGTCAGTTTCATAATCCATTGATATTGTGTACCATCTCTCTGGGAAACAAAAGGCTTTTGCACATATCCATAGACATACAGTTTTTAGGAGTTCAGGGGCCAACCTCAGGAGTCCAACATATTACCCACGCTAAGAATTCCTCTTCATGTTATAAGCACTTATTTCTTTATTTGATCATAAGACATTTGATTGCCTGCCATGTACTCTGGGCCCTGTGCCAGTTCCTTGCTAAGCAGCCCCATGACCTTGGGGTCACCTCCCCAGCTCTAAGTTTTGTGTATAAGATTAGCGTGTTTTAATGGAATGATCTCTAAAGTCTCTTATCATGTTTTATGTACTCAGCCTTGTTCTAAGTACAGATAGGAATGCACGGTCCAAGCATGTAATAAAGCAGAACAGTGACCAGGACCAGGCAAAAGCAAGAAGCAAAGGGAAAAGGGATGACGGCTCCTGTTTAGTCCTTTGAAACAGACACTTAGGCAAAGAAACTACCTCACTGGTGTGTGAGAACTACAGCACTGAGTTTATCTCTACATGTGGCCTCTATATAATAATGAATGCTCACATCATTAATCCGTTTGGGCTATTGCA